GTGGAGATCATGACTTATCCTCAAGGCTACTTTATCGCAGCTAAGAGATCATTCTGGTGGAGATCATGACTTATCCTCAAGGCTACTTTATCGCAGCTAAGAGATCATTCTGGTGGAGATCATGACTTATCCTCAAGGGAAGGAGGAGGTTGGGGAGCTCTTCATGAAACGTGGTCAAAGCTTGGACCGTTTCCTTCGGTGGTGCAGATAAGCTTCTCATGCTCTCCTCTTGATGACGTGCTAAGCAAAAAGTCTAACCGGTCTTGGATTGTCTTGAGTTTGGTAGATTCAAAATGAGGTTGGGCTCCTCAACTGGAGTTGGACTTTAACACATAAATTGGACTATTTGGGCTTAACCCATCAACTTTAACTATTTTTGTTATATTGTTGAGCCGGCCTGAGTTGATTAAATACTTCATGGAATTTCCCAAAATGAAAAATTATAAACAAAATGACAGCTGAAGCCAATTGAAGGTTATGATCTCTTTCACTTGTCAATAATCGTCAAAGGTAGGCAGGCACCTCTCAAATTACTAAAATAATTGGAGAATTTTTCATTAATTTGACTATTGGAGAAGACTAATCCACCTCACCAACTTCAAATTATTTTAAAATTTTAAAATTCAAGTTGCTTCTTGATAAGATAATATTAGTTGAGTGAAAAATTCCTCTCTATTCCAAAGCAATTACAAGATGACCTAATTGTATGAAAATTGGAAGGAGATGAACCCTAATCAATAATCGTTGAATGCTAAGTGGAGGCCAATCCCTTTTTGGTTTTTTTAATCAGATTATGTGATGGGCCATTCATTTGTTTTATAAGTTTCAACCATTAATATCTATTTAATCTAATTAATATCGAGTTGAGTAATGCTACATGGACATAAAAAAAATATACTTAAAAATTAGATTTGATAATCTCAATTGTTAAATAGGTAGTGAGTCCCAATAAATACTAAGACCCACAGTGAAATCAATTGTTGAGATTATTAAGTTTAATTTTTAAGTCAATGTAGCATTACTCAATAGAGTTAGGTTATTTGAGCCAAATTTGAAATTCAAATTTAATTATAAAGTTAACTAACTAGTGTTATCCAATAAGTCCCAAAATCGAATAGGATTCAATTTTAAATAATCTAAAACACCTATCATTTAATATGAACTAAATTTAAACAAGAAAAATGCTATATAATTCAATGAAACTAAAAAACTAAAATTCAAATGAATATCATCTCTCAAATGGATGCTAGATGAGTGGATTCCACTAACAAAATTGATGAAACCTATTAATATAAGGAATTATATGTATTTAAGTTATAATTTTTTAGGTTCTCTATGAGTTATAAAGCATTGTTTATCTAATAATCAAATTGAATGATCGAGTTAGGGGTGTTAAAATATATAATGATACAAACATGACAAGAAAATTAGAGGATTTAGATTTTTTTTAAGTCTATTTATTTCATAAACGAGTGAATCTGACATGGTACGATTAATAAATAAATTAAATACGAGTGAAGTTAATTAAAATAAATATCTAACACGATTTATTTATATATTATATATTAGTCATACATGATTCATGTACAATATATACCCAATATAATATAATTTATTAGACATAAATTAATAAAAAAATAAAATATGGATAAAATATTTTATTAACATAAAGCTCTTAAAATTCGATACGAAATCATATGAGCAGGCGTGATTAGCAGCCCTAACTTATGAATACGCAGTCCGCTAGAGTCAAATTTAACGTCTGACTTTCTAGAAATCTCTCTCTTTCTCGAAAGCTCGGAGATGGTGGGAAAGAGTCCGAAGCAGCGCGTTATTCGTATCAATTTAAATACAACTTGAGACCTTTTTTCAATTAATTTTTGCAGTTTCCTTGTGACTTTGAGACAGTTATGGTATATAAAAGCACCATTAGACGTTAGACCTTGGCATCAACCAACTCTCTCTCTCTCTCCCTCCTCAAAGACCCTTCTTCTCTCCATAATTGATCTTCTCAATTCACTTCATTCATTGATTCATTCTTTTAGTCTGTCTGATACTTTAAAATCTCCGATGGAACACTTGTTGGGTCTTCTCAGAATTCATGTCCACAGAGGTGTAAACCTTGCTGTCAGAGATCTCAAGAGCAGCGACCCTTACGTTATTGTTAGATTTGGCAAACAGGTAATGTCTTGCCCTTCTACATAATTTCAGCTCTTGGGTTCATTTCTTTATTGAATTCTTGGATTGATTCGATAGTTCTGAGCTTGGCTAGAGAAAATTTGATGTAATCTGACTGGGACTTTTTTCTTTGAATAGTTTGTGATTTGACTGTTAAAAAACTTCAATCTTCTCTGACATAAAAGGTAGATCAAACCAAGAAAATTAAACCATCCAATTCTTCTTCTTGATCAGTTTTTTCTTTCTTGCTTTTCTGGCTGAACATTACTTCAGCAGATGTATATATGCATGTCTGACTTTCCGCTTGTGTTAAGTCATGTTGTTTTCTTTTGGTTTGGGGAAAACTATTACCTGATTTATTTTCACCCAAAATTTACTCTTCCCTTTTCTTCTTCTTCCCCTCCTTTCCTCTCGGAAAATATTAGCCTATTTCTTTGTTGGACCTCTCTCTCTCTCAAACAGACTCTGATAGACTTCTAAGGATCTGTACTCTGTTTGCAGGGATAATAAATATATCCCTATATTTTCTTCCATTGACTTTTCAAGTTATTACTTTTTTCTCACGAAATGCCAAAGAGAGTTGAATTTGAAAGGAATTTATGTATCAACAGTGCTGCTGAGACCTAATCTACGATGGTAAGATATTGTGGTAATTAGATTAGCAGTGGGTCTTAACTTTGAATGAAGTCGAGTATCAATTTCTATAAGCACTTAGATTTCTAAATTATGTCTTTAAATTAAGTAAACTAGCATTAATCGTATTAGGTATCTCAATTCACCTTCGGTGAAATGCTTGCATTCAACATTTGAAGCTTCCATTTGTTTATTTTTTGCTAATGTTAATCAATGTGATACTGGAACAGAAATTAAAGACTCGTGTGATAAAGAGGAATCTCAATCCCGAGTGGAATGAAGATCTGACACTCTCTGTCTCAGACCCAAATACTCCAATCAAGCTAGTAAGTATTTTGTAACTGGTTCTGGTTCAATTGAATTATACGAGAATAGTGTGTAGCCTATACATAGTGTCTCATAGTATAGAAAGATTAGGGGAAAGATATGGAGTTGCTTGATTCAGTTAATGAGTACCTCAGTAGCTAGGGTGAGAAGGGAAATGATCGATTAATCCCTTTCCGGTATTCAGCATTAAAGATGATTTGAAAACTAATGAGATCCTCTACATCTCGGACTTTTCCTCTTAGGAAGTCCTATAAACTAAATCAATAAAGGAAATGGAATAAAAGGCATTGAAGTTCTTGAGATAACTCCATGTTTAGCAAATGCTATATGTTCATTTGCTTCATAGCGCTTGTGGAAATCTTCCCAAATGTATGGAGTTATAGACCACTAAAAACAACTACTACACATGAATAGTGCCCATAATTAATCAGCCTCATATAGCATCTACAATGAAGGGATTAAAAGAATAATAGCAATCTGTATTAAACATTTGACAATCCTTGAGTGACATAAATGATTCATTTACCATTTTATTCTTCCTACTTGCAGATGGTGTACGACAAGGATACATTCACGCCCGATGACAAAATGGGAGATGCAGAGTTTGACATTAAACCATTCGTAGAAGCTGTGAAGATGCACTTGCAAGACCTCCCTAATGAAACCATAATCACAAAAATTAAACCAAGCCGGGAAAACTGCCTTGCTGAAGAAAGCTGTATTATCTGGACAAACGGCAAAGTTGTCCAAAATTTGGTTCTGAAACTGCGAAATGTCGAGCGAGGTGAAGTAGAACTCCAGCTGCAGTGGATTGATATTCCAGGTTCTAGAGGTCTGTCCATGTAATGTGCTTGGCCTGTTTATTGCTGGGTGTGATGTACAGAGTTTTGAAGTGTATAGACACCAACACCAACTGAGCATTTCACCTAGTTTCCTTTTCATATACATGAAGAACAGAGTGTTGATTATTATATGTGGTATTTTTCTCACAAGTATTGATTTCAACAAAATGGCTATATGTAAAGAGGCTGAGACATTCTTTCATTCTTTGAATCCTGTTCTCTCATTACAATGTTTTTTGACGTTTTACCAATGAATGTACGAAGTTTTTGTTAATTTTATTGGACCAGCCGGGTTTTCTTGCCTCTTACCAATTAGAGGTTTTCTTGTCTTCTCTAATGAGCAGGCTTTCTTGTGGAAAAAAAAAACTCAGGGCATGAGGCTCCATTCACTACGGTTTTGGAAAGTTCAAATGTATACAATCTTACGCGGTGAGACTGGTTTTATCACTCGACATAGTGATATAGCAACCTTATGGATCGGTCAAGATTCCCTCTTATGGAATCTTGCTAAAACATATTCAAAAATTTCTCAACCATAGCGGATTGAAGAGTGATGCGGTGGATATTCACTAATCGCTAAATAACCCTTCGGGGTGTGTTTGGTTTAAGCATTAGAAAAGATTGAATTGGACAAATCCGTCCATTCTATACCTATCCGTCTAACCCTTGAATTAATTATAGTGATAATACTTCTTTATTCCATGTTTAAATCAAATATTAAGAAATAGTGAACCCCATGTTTATCCCATCAATACTTTATTTGGAGAAGTATTAAACGATGGTAAACACATTAAATTTCTAAAGAACCCTCAAATTAAAGATTGATATTTATATCTTAGAAATTTTTTAGGGTAAAAATGTCTTTTATTCAAATACATCCCAACCAGATTATTTAAACCTACAAAAAAAGTGTATTTATTTAAGAGGCCGTATTATTTTTAGATGATAATACCGAATCAATATAAGAGGGATAAGGTGGGGCCAACATTATCTTTTTCAATCTCTTTTTCCTAATACCTAAGTAAACACACCAACAGATAACTAATTAGAGTTGACGTGAAGGGTCAACTCAACAGTATTAAAAATAACGGGTATTTGACCGTGAGTATTTTTTTTAGAACTTATTTTGTTTTAAGTACCACAACAAAACTTATTATCTATTAAGTCATCATGATCATCAAATGATAGTCATTAAGTACACATTTCAAATTTTTTTTTTTTTTTGTATTACCTAATTACTTCTACCATAAATATTGCCTATTAATATTAGTTTCAGTGTTTATATATATATAACAACATGTTCAACAAAAAAATAATAATATTAAACAATAACATTCTCAATAAAAAAATTAATTAAAAATTTAATCATTACAATATACTGACACCATATGTGAGTACTTAAAACTATTGTCTTGCCCACAATAAAATAAGTATTCGCTGTATGAAGTCGCATCACTATATCAACAAATTAAGTCAAATTTTTAGATTCAAATAATATTTCTCATAATTACCTTATCTAGATAGGAAGTACTAAATTATTCAATGGTAAATTAATAAAACCGTACTATATGTAAAGCGGTAAACACCTGTTAAATTCCTTCAAACCAACTGCATCGGTGAGGGAAAAAAATAAATAGAAGAATGCGTTTGTATAGTATTATTAGAAGCATGTTTGGTTTGGGTATTAGTATAGGATATGATTGAACAATTAATTTCATTTCAATTCACAGTAGTGATAATATCCACCATTTTATCTTATCTTTATTACNAGAATGCGTTTGTATAGTATTATTAGAAGCATGTTTGGTTTGGGTATTAGTATAGGATATGATTGAACAATTAATTTCATTTCAATTCACAGTAGTGATAATATCCACCATTTTATCTTATCATCATGTTTGAATCCATGTTAATATAAGATATGAGTCCATTATTCTAATACCAATATCATATTTGGATAAAGTATTTAGTGAGTCGTATTGAGTTCAAAAAAAAAAACCCTACATCAATACATAATTGTTTAACCTATAGGTATAGTCTTCTCATTTTGTATGGTACTACCAATCATGTCAAGTAAAATACCACCTATTACAGGACATTTGTTTATACTAAATATGAAGCGTTAAATGACAATTTATTTTTCGACCANCAAAAAAAAAAACCCTACATCAATACATAATTGTTTAACCTATAGGTATAGTCTTCTCATTTTGTATGGTACTACCAATCATGTCAAGTAAAATACCACCTAGGACATTTGTTTATACTAAATATGAAGCGTTAAATGACAATTTATTTTTCGACTAGTACTAAAATATCTTTAATATCAACACTTATAACATGATATAAACTTAGTATTAAGTGATTATTGGATTAATTTAGTCAAATAACATCTTTTAACATACCAAACAAAACGCCCCATATATGTAAAACGAGGACATACCGACGCACCCTTCCGCCTGTGCGGGTCTGGACTTGGGAGTGGTTGGTTGGGTTTTAGCCAGGGATAATTTTCGGCCTTCGTAGCCTTTTTTGGACATTATTCTCTCATTTTTATTAAAAATATTTTTAAATAGTGCTTGTTTACTTATATTTTTGTTTTATTTGCATGCAGCGCCATTCTAGGCANCGCACCCTTCCGCCTGTGCGGGTCTGGACTTGGGAGTGGTTGGTTGGGTTTTAGCCTGGGATAATTTTCGGCCTTCGTAGCCTGTTTTGGACATTATTCTCTCATTTTTATTAAAAAATATTTTTAAATAGTGCTTGTTTACTTATATTTTTGTTTTATTTGCATGCAGCGCCATTCTAGGCAAGTGAGGTTGCCGCCAAGGGCTCAATTCGTGTATGTCTCTTAAAATGATATAATTAAATTTAAAAAAATATAAATATTTTAGAATTTTATGTCAAGTGATTAAAAATTTTAAGAATATTTTTTTAAAATTATAAATATATGTACATTAAAAAAAGTAAAAAAAAAAAGATCGNTATAAATATTTTAGAATTTTATGTCAAGTGATTAAAAATTTTAAGAATATTTTTTTTAAAATTATAAATATATGTACATTAAAAAAAGTAAAAAAAAAAAGATTGCACGATATTATTGTACAAAAAATTACAAAACTCTACTCTATCATTTATTTAAATTCTCAATAATTCTGACATATTCATTTAGTTTAATTTTCTTGAATTATAATTTTTTAAGATAGTTTGATCTTAAAATAATCATTCACATAATGTGTTTATTTTGCAAGTTATTTTTGACCTTGAATATATCTACTAAAAGATATGAATTTAATATTTTAAAATTTTAAAATAATCTAATTATTCAATTATAAANAGTTTAATTTTCTTGAATTATAATTTTTTAAGATAGTTTGATCTTAAAATAATCATTCGCATAATGTGTTTATTTTGCAAGTTATTTTTGACCTTGAATATATCTACTAAAAGATATGAATATAATATTTTAAAATTTTAAAATAATCTAATTATTCAATTATACATAATTTAGGGCCTCATCTAAAAATTTTGTCCATGACCTTAAATATTTTTGGGCCGGCCCTGTTTATTTGGATCTATTTTCATCGTTCAAGTTTAATAGCATGTGTAGTAATATAAATATGAACATATATCATCCTATTATTTACATACAAAAATTCATATGAATTGCTTTTATCATATAGTGACTAAAATGCTTTTTGCTATGATAAAATTATTTTTTTCTTAGAAACAGTCTTCAAAAAATATTAGAAAACAGAATTTTGGAAGATGGAAATCCAAGTATAGACGGCTATTGTTCTTCGTACTAAAAATTTATCACCAATATTATTTAAATTTATTTTTTTGATAGAATAAGTCAATTAATCTATTATTACTTTCAAAAAAAAAAGTAATCTATTATTACATTTTAAATGATAGCAGATTCCAATTAACATTTGGTTACACTATTATTTCAATAGTAATAATTTATGACGTCAATAATTTAGACCAATGGAGTAAGTTCAAATTTCAATGCATAAGAAGTATACTTCTTGTTCAATAAGGAAAGCTACCTTTCAATCCCAATTACTGTTGGTTTTCATTAGGGGTTTTAANATAATTTATGACGTCAATAATTTAGACCAATGGAGTAAGTTCAAATTTCAATGCATAAGAAGTATACTTCTTGTTCAATAAGGAAAGCTACCTTTCAATCCCAATTACTGTTGGTTTTCATTTTCAAAATATGATATGAATTGAATACGAAATAAATGGATCAAACACAAAATTAAATGGGTAGGTAAAAAAATGGGTCAACACATTTAAACCCAAAAAAATGTGTTGGTTTCAAGTTAAACTTGGGTTGACCCAATTTTAACATAATTAATCCATATATTTTAAATGGGTTGACCTGAGATGAACTTGAACCCGACCTAATCCGTTGTATACTCATTTAATCGCTTATCAAAGNAATTAATCCATATATTTTAAATGGGTTGACCTGAGATGAACTTGAACCCGACCTAATCCGTTGTATACTCATTTAATCGCTTATCAAAGTATATACAAGCAAAAAAAACCTTAACCCTAAAACCATTTCATTTCCTATCCACCTACCAGAGCCGCTGCCTCTATTGCCTGTTCGTCACGAGTCACTCTCACAAAGGCTGAAGCTGAAAGTTGCAAGCACAAGCTGTGCACAAAGGGCTTCACTCCGGCGTCGTCCTTCCTCAGGGCTATCGAATATCTCAGATCGTCGCCAATCGTCCCTTCTCAAGACTTAAATCTTATATTTGTCTGTCGAATATTTCAAATCTAAGAAGATATACAGGTGATTTGTGAAACTGGTTAAACAGGTCCCTATAAGTGTTAAATAGGCTAAACAGGTTGTATTATGTGTTAATTCAAATCCGATCCATAAATTAAATAGGTTAAATAAGTTGGATTTAGATAACTCGTTAAATTGTCAGTGTCAGATTAGAATTTAAACAACTTGACACGATTAATTAAATGTGTCAAATTTGA